TCGAAAGATACCGATGACATTATATAATAAAAGTGTTTTTAGATTTTTGATTGTGCTTTTAAATTCTGAGTAATTTTAATCTAAAGTTTCAAGATGTGAAAACTCGAGATAAAGCTAGTGGTAGCGTCGTGAATTTGACATCGACATGAACATATACACGCATCAAGTATCATGTCATCATGTCAAACGGTTATATTTTTATTTTATGCACTTGGCGTCGCGACGCTACCGCGTCGCTTGATTCATATAGCTACTATTTTATTTTAGCAATCCTATTTTTAGATATTACATATTTATACTATTGCAACCATTGCAAAATTTGTTTGTAAAGTAGTGTATGCGTGGATGCAGTGTTTCTCCCCCACTGGGGGGGACTCCACTACTGTTAAAAATAACCTAACCTAAATAACCTAGCCGAAGCCTGCCGCCCAGGCTGCATAGCTCAATCATGCGAACCATCGCATAATAACGAGACAGCAGTACGCGTGAGCAAGCAAGCGTGCGTGGATTAGAATAGAAAATAATTTATTTGAGTTATTTGCGTTTTCCTTTTTTTTTCGTTATCTTAACAGTTAGTCGTTAAAGATATAGTTAGTAAGACGCCGTTGCGCCGGGAATTATATTACGTTATAGAGCGGGAAGTAAATAAGTCAGCTAAGGGTTATGAGCTAAGAACGGCGGGTGAGTTCAAATCACCACCGAGAATATTGATTTATTTTTGTTGTTTCTTTCCTTTATTGAGATTTCCCACGGTGGAAATTAATTATAAACTTGATTATCGAGATTTCCCATGGTGGAAATCAATTGTAAAGTTGAATAATGATATTTCCTACGGTGGAAATAGATTATAAAGTTGATTATTGTACTTTCCCACGAAGGAAATTGATTATAAAGTTAATTAATGATATATTAATTAATGATATATTAATTAATGATATTTCTCACGGTGGAAATTTATTATAAAGTCGATTATTGTACTTTTTCTTTGTTGAGATTTTTCACGCTGGAAATTGATTATAGAGTTAATTGTTAAGATTTCCCACGATGGAAATTGATCGTAGAATCAATTGTGAAGATTTTCCACGGTGGAAATTGATTATAGAGTCAATTGTTAAGATTTTGCACGGTGGAAATTGATTATAGAAATTGATTATGGAAATTTATTGTGTTTTCTACGGTGAACAGCAATTTTGTGAAATTAACTATGTCAAGAAGGTCGAGCATTTTGTTCTGGATGCGCCAAACAAAGTAAGAGTGCGAACTACGGCGCATGCGTTAAGAGCGGTGACGAAACGTGATAAAGAGAACGACAGAGGGGAGTCCGAACGTAGAGTAGTAGAAAAAGAGAATCGAAAAGAGAAGGTCGAACGGAGAGGTCCGAATCAGGTGTGCGAACCGAGAAGTCTGAAGTCTTGATATTAGAGTTCCGAAGTAAGAGGTCGAACGGGAAAAGCGCTTGGCAAGGAAATCTCCGAGTGGAACCGACACGAGGAGAACGGGAGTTTCGATACGATGGACTTAATCGCGTACTAAGTAACCCGCGGTGTTTGCTATCTATCGGGGAGACAAAAGTGATTAATTCTCAAAGAGGAACGAAAAATGGAGTCAAGTACGCGGACGGACAGTGCTCTTTCCTTCTCCGAATTCGCGCAACAGACAGTATTGTATTCAATAGAGTATTCGTAGCGACATTGAAGATTTCATTGAATAAACTTGTTTTGTTGATCTAAAAAGCAAAAAATCGTATTGGTGAAATATTTCAAAACCTTATCCAAATCCTTCGTTTTGGGGGGTAAAATAACGTGGCGACCGACTGGAAAGAGCCAGAAAGAGGGCCGAGCGGCCAGGAAGGCCATTCGTACGGTCACATTCTAATCCATTTTTTGGTGTGAGGTGACCCTCGCTACGCGTGGAAGTTGTGCGACCTTTTCTTCCTTTTCGCCACCTCCTTGAGCGCACAATTTTCACGCATAGCAAGGGTAGCCTCACACTAAAAAATGGATTGGGTTAGAGTTAGATTATTTTTAACAGTAGTGGTGCCCCCGTAGAGGATCGGAACCCACTGCATCCACGCATACATTACTCTTTACAAACAAACACTGCTTTAAAACACTTTTTATATAACACTTAACATCTCAGAAACTATAAGAGATCGCCACTTAGTTGTTAAGGCAAATTTAGAATCATGATCTTGACAACATATGTCAAGGTCAAAGTCATCGGCGCGGTGTCCATTAATATATGCATAATTACTCATATTCTTAATATTTACAAACTTTTCATTTATTTACCTGATTAAAAATTTCATGGAGCCGTTCAGTATTTGCACGCTTTAAGTACCCCGAAGAACCCTGTAACATGATACACAAAAGATGTCAACATTAATTGTTCTCTAATTGTCGCTAAAAATATTTTTCAAATACATATATAGAAGAGAGGCCCCTATTATGAGATACCGAGATCATTTTGTGTAATTACTAAATGTTTATTGGTAGAATTTAAAAAAATAATAGGTCATCTTGAAGGAAATTTAATAAGCTTTATGAAACTACAACGTAAAATTTAATTTAAATATTATTTTTCCTAAAAATTAGAAAATTGTAAGAAGTGAGCAAATCGCAAAGTCAAAAAATTGTGCTCCTAATATAAGATACTCCAAGAAATGGTTAATAAAATGTAAAATATATCTGTATTACAATTGAAAAATTTTATTTCAAGATTTTTAAATATAAATATGATAAAAAAATTATTTGCAAAAGTCACCATTACGGAATACCTAACCTACACGCACCTGCATGCTCGAAGTCATGACCGCCATAACGAAGAGGTTATGGCTTCGAGCATATTAGAGCTGCGTTCGGTAATAGCAAATCTGAGGTGCCGGAGTGCTCTTATATTATAGCATATGTCACGTGCACTATAGAAAAAGAGCACTCCGATGCCTCAGATTTGTATTGCCGAACGCAGCTTAGATATCTCATAATAGGAAAACTATAAGTGTCTTATATTAGGAGCTTCACGTTTTGCAGTTTCGCAATCACCAATTCTAATCTCTGCAGTTAAGCAATTCAACACAGCCCGTTTCTTATTAATACGATCTTACTCTCATCACTGCATGCGGAATTTATTGCCAAATATTTATTTTATTATATAATAAACAAATCTAAAGACATGGTAGGGTCTCGGCGCTAAACCAAGCGCGTGACACTGCCGTGCCTCCTTTACGCGACACGGAGAATTTTTCGGGGTCGAGATGATCAGATCTCAGTAACGGCTGAACCGATCAAGTTCTACATACGCTCAATCAACAGAAAATACTTAAATTATATAATAAAAGTGCTTTCACTTTTTTTTCTACGTGCCCTACGAGCGGAGATATCGCGACGCAAAGTCCGGATCTGTAAATTTTTACATCGATTTTTAAGATACGTCGTTATTGTCATTATTGTCATCATCGTCGACCAGAGAAAATGTCCATCTTGTTTTTTCGACAATAGAGGGCCTTTGACTTTATGTGTTATCCAGGGAATGGAAAGTTACTTTTTAAAAGTAACTAGTTACAGGTACTCGTTAACGAGTAAAAAATGTAACTAGTTACAGTTACAGTTATCGCTTTTTAAAAGTAACTCGTTACAGTTACCGTTACTTGAAAAATAACTTTTCGTTACTTTTC